GCCGGGTAGTGGACCGCTGGAAGGCCGACAAGACAGGTGAGGGAGGGGCGGGGTCCAGATTTAGAAAACGCAGGTGAAACGTGATGAAGAGTTTTACGAAGGAATGTTGCATCGTTGTTTTCCAGGAGCCGTCAGCGGCTTCGGTCTGGACTACCTGCCGGCTGCTGCGTCCTCTGCAGCTTCAGACACCAGCTGGCACCAGAGCGGACCACCCGGCAGCTCCTGGACCAATCAGGAGTCTCCAATGGAGGAGTCGTCTTCCACTGTGCTGCTCGACAGCCTCAAGGTCCCTGAACGTCTCTTTAGTTTGAGTCGCTGTTTAATGAGAACGTCATGTGACTTTAACAGCTGATGTAGTTTTATCTAATGAATTCTTTGATAGTTTAAACTTTATTTGTCTTTTGCTTTTATAATTATTAACTTTTTTAATTTACTCAGTTTGAGTTTCTGACTTTACAAAGATTCACGATACACGTCACAGTTTGTTTTTTAACAGATCAATTTGAAAAAATGACTGAATCCACTCGATGTGTTGTTGGAAGGTTTTGATTGAATCATCATTGAGTTTCAGCTCTTTGTTTTTCAAACATGGATTCGTGCTCAGTCAGTTCTGATGCTGTGCTCTCTCTGCAGTCCATCTGGTCCAGCTCCATGATGCAGCCGGGCCCGTCGGCGCTGGAGCAGCTCCTCCTGCAGCAGAAACAGAAGCAGCAGCGAGGTCACGGCGCCATGAACCCGCCTCACTGAACAGTAGCCCGGGGCGGTGCTTTGTGTCCGGATGTAAAAACAACCACGGCCAGGAGAAACGGGAGGAAAAAAGACAAAAGTTTGACGAAGACAAGCTCCGACAAAAATGGAAAATTAAACCGGTGAGAAACGGTGGAGGCCGGGGAGGTGACATGACCCCCTGACGAGGCTGAAACACCAACCCCACCCCCTCGGCCGTCGAGGAGCGGTGACGCCCCTCCTGGATCGGAGGGCGCGGGATCTCTTCAACCATGGTGCCACACGCCACGTCACCGCCGGGTTTCCTTCAACCCGCGGAAATCTGAACATTGAGGAACACAACCCCCCCCCTCACCACCACTGCCCCGGACGCCACATCTCCGCCGCTACGCTCTCATCTGGGAGAACTTCTTCTTCTAACAAAAAACAAAACCACCATCTGGACGTCTGCTCGGTCCTGGCGGAGCGCCTGTTTTTAGCGTCTCTGCCGCCGCAGACTGAAGGGAGGTGCCATGGGAGAGCGAGGTCTGTGTGGTGGTCAGGTTCATGGGGGAGGGCGTGAAGCAGCGGGAGACAAAATAACAGACTGGACTTTCTGCTTTCTCTGTTCATATTCATTACTGTGGAGGAGGAGGAGGAGGACACTCTGCAGCTGATTGGTCGAATGAAGGAAGGAAAAGGGTGACAGCTATATAAATATATAAATAAATATATATTGCCATAGTTGGACTTCAAACGGGTCTCGTCTCTTAGCCGTGTTATGAGAACGGGGACTACGTCCATCCTTTTTGAGGGAAGAGCCGGGACACCTGAGGGGACGGCTTCTGCTGGAGAACATCACAGGGGAAAGAGGAAGTAAAAGGGAGGAGGGGCTAAGAACACGAGACCCCGCCAGCGTTAGGGATCGTATCATCGTTAGAGATTTACAGATATGACTAAAAAACTGAGTGTTTAGTGATTTGTTTGTAGCAGTTTTAGCTTCACGCTGCGACGTGAACGCAGCTTTGTCTTTTAACTTCTTCTTCCTGTTTCTTCTTTAATGAACCAAGAAAAAATACAATGAAACTCTGATCGATTCAGTCAGAAACTAACCTGCTTCTAATGTTTCTGTTCATCGTCTGACGGTTTGGAGAAAATGAGACAGACAGACAGAGAGACAGAGAGAGAGAGAGAGAGACAGAGAGAGAGAGACAGAGAGAGACAGAGAGACAGAGAGAGAGACAGACAGACAGAGAGAGAGAGACAGAGAGAGAGACAGATAGAGAGAGAGATGGACGTCCTCTGAAATCTCGTCTTTAGTTCTTGCTGCTCTGATTTTTTTTTTTGCTCCTGAAACTTCTTCTTCTTGTAAAACCTCAAAGTCACAGGAACCAAACTCAGGAACTCAGTGTTTGTTGTGGAGTCTCATGCTTCATCTCCTGGTTGTTGTTTGATGAACCAGGAAGTGGATAAGTGAGCGAACAATGATCGGTTCTTTCATTGGAATCATTTCTCGTCTCTGTTTAGAAAAGTTAAAAACGCAGTTTGGTCGAATCATTAATTAAGTTCAGA